GCTGAAATTTTCAGGACATTCTACCTACATATAGACCTGTCTGTGGGCGAAATCTTAGCTCTAAATATTGGCATTCGATTTGTTGGTAGATTTCTTGCTATAGACAAAAATTTCAGTAATATGCCTATAACCCTAAATAGAAGGCGAAAGGGCACAATCCTCTTGAGGTTTTTCATAGCTCATTGAGGTCTATCTATCGCCAAAAGATGGAGCCTAAAAGGCTTTATCACCTGGGGAGGTTCCCTCGTTAGTATTTTATGAACTATGCAAGGGAATAATGTATACTTCAACTCAAAGTGTTATAACATGAGAGCAAAACTGTAGCAAACTTTTGTCAATTACGAGAACTGTCAAATCCGGGCTTGAAAATGTCCAGTTAGCAAGAGTTATACTCTTAAGTAAATGAGTATAATATAAAATGAACCGATTTCAATGAAATCGATGAAACATGGAGATAGTCTTCTAGATAGAATATCTATGAAGTTTTTCGATTATTCGTGATCTTATCTGACGAAAATAAACATAAATTTCACTCAAAGTCACTGAGACAAACCCAAGACTTCTAGTTGGATATATTTCTTATACATTCTATTTATTCTCATAATTTCTATCTCTGTAAGTACAATGTTTTTCGTAGATATGCAAATATGGATTATTTATAGCACAGTTGATAAAACTTAGACACATCAGAACACGCGAGTTTTACGACTAGAATATTTCAAATAAAATAATAGTTATTGCAAACTTCAAACTTTTGAGCTGTCGCTCAATTTCTAGTTTCTGTTTCATTGCGACGCAACTATTATTTTAGAAAACTATGTCTTACCGTGTAATGTCTCGTACAAAATGAAACAGTTAAATGTCGTATACTTCATCTTTATAGCCCTGCTTATTGAAAAGGAGTTAAATTTTTTATTGCTGTTGGTTGTTAAAACAATAAAAATTTTTATCTATACACTTCTATTACAATGACTAAATTTGCAAAATCCATCCAACCAGCCAAAAAGAAAAAGAAAGGAAGAAAATCTCCAAGCAGTAGAAGTAAACTGTTACAATGATAATGATAAGGCAATAATAAAGTTGTGCAACTTAGAGATGTTCACATTATTTGAGGGTGAGAGTATGAGTATGGGTAATATTGCGAATGAGATATCAACATATTACCCTCACACTCACATCGAACACGATATCCAGTCGAATGAAGAATTTGATTGAGTAATAGACCACTGAAATCAATAAAAATAATGATTTGATGATATATTAATCACATAATCACGAATATAAAAGAGAAAATGTACCTTTACTTTATTAGTATATATTAATCTCTCTTTTTTTTACAGGAGAATAAATAAAATCGATGTTTATATTATTATATCAGTACATACATTAAATTTTATACGTAAAAATAGAAAAAAAATGAAGATAATCAAACGATCTTGTATAATACAATTATGAGGTTATTATGTGTAAATATAAATAAAAAATGAATATTGTATAACAAACATCATTCCAAGTTAATAATACATTCAGTTTTTGTTTGCATTTTTAGATCGAGAAATTTCTTTTTATTTAGAAATAATCGAAAAATAAAACATCTATTTCAGTTTATAAATTCATATAGATTGATACTATTGTCGAACATTAATTATTATGATTGAATCCATGGGATGAGCAAAAACTAATCAGATTAAAAAAAAATTCAAAATTATTGAATCTCAATAAACAGCCGTATTCTTTATTTGTTTTTCTATATTTATATAATGATTTATATAAACTTCAATAGTTATTAAAGCTCCCCCCATCCTAATTTCTATTTTAGCTTCTGAACATCCAATCTTGATGAAATTTTCAGAGGAGTTGTGTCCCATGATAGGTATCTCACAGTAAAAATTTCAGTTCAAAATACTGAGTCTACCAAGTTTCATCTGAAGATTACCGGTCAAATGGAGGGCCCCGGATTTTCCGACTCCTACTGCTATCTTAAACGTTAGAAAGCTCTGGTTTGTTTTAAAATATACCAAAGACCTAGTACTACAACTTAACAGAGCCCGAATTTTAATTTTCGCTTTGAATTTTTTTGTTACAGTTTATCCTATCGTGTACGGTAATGATAGGGCATATCCTGTGATGCATTTTAATCTCATGAGACACTGAAAATAAAATCTGAAATTTCGGCTCTATTAAGTTGTAGAGCTAATTAATCTTTTCATTTTGAAGCCATTCCGAGCTCTGTAGCATTTAAAATGGCGAAGAGATTCGGGAAATACGAAAGTGTTACAACAAAAACCGCATTGTGAGAAAAACGTGAAAGAGATTTTGAGAAGTGAAATTTAAGACTTTTCTATAGTAACATGAAATGAAGTACGTTTTTTAGTGATTTCTGATAGGTCATTGATTAGAACAAGCTCAGCAGATACATGTAGAGGGTGGGTGAAGGTGTGGATGTGGGTATTACATAACCTCACTTTGACACCCACACCCACCCTCAATTTCATCAAGTGTTTGAGGAATAAAATTAGAATTGAATAAATTTTCTTCAAGATATTTTTTCTTTTTTTGTTTTGTTTCTTTTTTAACAATAAAATCTTTTCTCATTCCCATCATAAAACATCGACTGAGTCGACATAGATGACATTTACGATTTATTCCATGTATAACTAAACATTCATTATTACCTGTTAAACATTTTAATTCTTCCTAGAAACAGATAAACAATTTAAATTAAATGACAAATCAAATAAACTAACCAATTGTTGATAAGCATTTCGACGAAAAAAAGCTTTACATGATGCACATGATAGAACATCATAATTAAAACCAATAGCACGATCACCACATATTTTACAAACTGAATCAATTGATTTTTTTGAAATATTATTTTCTTTTGATTGATTATGATCAGTTGAATTCTAGAAATAATTAGTTCTAATCTTAAGAATTTTGTTTTGTAAGAAATAAATACAAACAAGTTCAGATAATTCTGCAAGAGCTAAATTAATCATATTTTTATCATATATTGTCAGTGACATTTGTTCATAATCATCCAAATCGATAATACGTGTATTTGTTGATTTAGCTGCAGATATTTTATCAACTAGATCTTCATCTGATGTTATAAATATCATTTTAGTCTGACCAGACATAGTCTCCCTATTTGAATAACTATTAAATTCTGTATGATGAGAACGACTATTTCAAGCCAGAAGAAAAAAACAAGAAAATGAATGTCAAAATACAAAATATATATTTTTTCTTCTTTTAGGTAAAAAAATTACAGAAAAGAAAACGAAAAAAAAGCAATACTTATCGAATAACACGGTCAATTACGCATTTATTCTCACTGTTATAACTGTAGATGGTGTACATATAGTTTTTCACTCGTACATACATTCATCGATATTGTTATAGTGATTGACTGAGATGGTAATGATATTAATGAAAAGAAATTTGAAGAGGTGGGAGGTGAAGGTATAAGTCGGTTGAAATATTCATATTCACCCACACCCCCAAGATGTTATTATTATTCTATTCTTTGTTGGATTTATTTATGATATTGTGATTAAAATAAAACTTAGAAAGAACTACCCGAAATCAAATAAATCATTTATTTTATTGAGCAAAGAATATGAACTGTATATTATAGACTTTCTTTTCTAAATATTCATTTGAATAAAATATTATTATTCTCAGAATTAATGCTGAATTTACACTAGTTGACTATGAGACGAACGCCTGCTACCTACTTGAAGTCTATTCAAACAAATGATGACCTTAGAACGTTCCAAACTTTACAACTTTTCTAGTACTTTTTAGAACATATATTGTATCTGTTTTATTACTAAGAAGTTTGCATGAATCCTAGGTAGACAAAAAATATCTTAAGTTTTATATGTGACCATGCCACGATTAAACATGAAATTCTGTAGATAAACTGGAATATGGTGGAGGTAAGTCATTTTCTCGTTTGATAAGTGATGTTGTTTCCGTTATAATTTGATCTGAATAAGGTGGTAAATTTCCAGAAGTATCAGGTGAATTTCCAATATCAATTACTATCTGAAAACTAATCGGAGTCAACGATTTTTATAAGATAATAACACTTACACGATAAACTAATCGTTGATACTGACCATTCTCATATGTTCCACACCAATGTGTTTTCGTTTCTAATCTCCATGTACATGGTATCGGTGTTCGTGATGAATATTTCATTGATTCCTTGGCAACTGCTTCTTGGATTTGTCTTGTAAGTCGATATCGTATGAAAGAAAATCCAACAAGACCACCACTTGATGCACAAAAAAGCAAAGAAATTCCCACACCAGTTAATGTAGGAAATTGAGTCGTACTGGTATTCTCTTGTAATCCAGCACCAAGAATAGTTAATGTCATTCCAATGACTAAAGTCAAAGAAAAAATAATGGAGACAATCAGTAACATTTTCTTAAAGGACATTGCACGATTAATTTGTTGAATTGATTCTCGATATTCATCTCGGTTAATAATACCAATCAAATAAAATGGATAGGTTGAATTAAATTCTATCGTTATACATCCGGCTAAAAAAAAATAAAATATTAAGATTGTATTCAATCGTAGAGATGTTATACTTTGAACAGTTGATATATAAATTGATTTTGGATACACAGAAGCATCGAACATTGTTCCTCTCTTTTTGAATCAAGCTATAATAAAAAAAAAGTAATATCTCATAAATAAACTAACTAAGAAATCTATCGAAATGATACAAAAAAAACAGCAGAATTATATTATAGAAGAGAAGAAATTGTTTACAGTTCCACGTGATCATATGACTTTTTTTATTACAACGTCAAATAATAAAAACAAGCATTATAATGTAGTCGATGTTGTTTCATTTATCTTTCCTATGCAAAGAACGACAAAAAAACTTTGAAAAATTCTTCTTATGTCTTTGTTATCAATGTTAACATAATAGTGTAGACAATGAAAAAGAATTATTATATTCAGTTGTTCTAATCGTGACAACTATTTTTATTTTGATTATTTTAATAAGAAAGATCACATTCTACAATAAATGCTTCAAAAAATGACGAAAACAACTAAGATAACAAATTATATTTAATATGTTGTTTACCGAGAAAAAATATAGTTGAATCCCATCATTTTGAATGTGTTAAAACCACTAACTATGATAGATAGATGAAAATAATTCTCCATTGATCTTGCGATAGTATTGAATAGTTTCAGTTTTTATTGCTCATAAATATATGCATCTACTTTTAGAACAGTTAGATACAAACAAATATTTTTCAATTCTTATAATTTATTAGCATGTTAACATACTTATTCAGCTAGATTAATAGTTTTACAAATAACAACAGAATAATGAATACTACATTTTATTATATACAAGAGATTAAACAATCATTAAAAACAACTTTATTTTGGAGCTTTGATTCGTTTACATTTGTTTCGACCTAAGGTGTGTTTGACACAAATATCAGGTTCACAACATTTAGTGATACTGAATGTGCTACATTTAACACATCTTGAACGATCATGTCGTCGTTTTGCCATGTGAAGTTCTGTCATATTTCCAACATCCCATTCAGATGACACAGGATGGTCGTTGCTTGGAGACATTTCCATACCATCAGATGAGTTTAATAAAACTATGCATGCAATTGCAAGAATGATAATGATGCTTGATTTCATTTGAAATAATTCTAAAATTAACAAATTTTCATTAAAAATTTATTTAAATTACGTGAATGTTAGAAATAAGTGTAGACTTACTTTCAGTATACTTATGTAGTGATTAGTGTGTTTCTTTAACTTTTCTATAATGAATATTTCGTACAAAAAGCGATGCCCTTTTATACTCGTTATTATCTTGTTAACGCTCGCGATGTGTATTTTTCGATATATTTCCATTGGTTATTTGTAATAAAAAAGAAGATAACTAGAGGTCAAATAAAAGGCACATTCGAACTTATTTTCTTGTTTCTTTATTATAAACGTGTTGTATGCAAACATTTTAGTCAAGGTTCATAGTCAATTGGTGTACAATCGTAGAAGAAAAGAAAATATATAAAACAAATCCATCTGTGACCTATTGACACATCGATAAGAAAATATTCGAATATGCAAACATAATTGGTTCAAGTGTGTTGAAAATAAAATATACTCTTCTTTCTTATCTTACGATCATCGAGCAGATGTTTTTTCTCACGCACTTATTGAAAAGAAGTTTTTATTTGATGACTACCTATTTTCCGAGAGATTAACTGATAATAAATTTTGAACAAAATTTTGTAAATATAAGTCAGTGTGAATGATGAATGAATAGTATATTATATCAACTAGCTCGAATTTGTTTATCTTTTGCAAAGTTAATAAAAACTATATCATTAGAAAGATCGTGACAAATTCTGTATACTCTAGCCTCCAACAAGGATCTTCTAGCTAGAATTGATTTTGGTAATGAAAAATTTTTCTGAAAAGATTCAATAAAAAAAGTTCTCTCCGGAATAAATAAATAAAATCTCTAAATTGTATAAAAGTATTCATGTATTATCCAATGTACAGAAAAATGCGTACATATGATAAAATACCGCATATTTCAGATATGGTTTGTCTGAAAATTTTGAAATTTTATATAAAACTTAATCTAGTTGAAGTCTATTAGGAAAATTATAATAAAAAGATTATATTCTAGTCAACTTAAAACATGCTCTCATACTTTTAGTATCTTCATGATGATTTGAATAACACACTGCGAAGATTTAGAAATGATCGCTGATAATGAACAAATAAACTTTTTCTGTACACATGATAGATGAATTAAAGTAACAAGGAATATTGAGATAATAGAGAAATTCAATTTAAATTATACTTCTTTTATTTTATCAATTGAGCTCTTATATTTTCTAAACTAAATAGACAATGTGTTAATGTAAGTATTTTTTGAGAATTTTTTATCAATCGATTGAAAAATATGCTCGACATTGTTTTTCTGAAGGTACTCAAAATACAGATGATTTAATTGTAACACCTAATTGTGAACTTTCTCGAATTCTTAATCTTCATTATAATCGTTCAAATCATATAAATGTAACAGAATATATTTTTCTTTTTCAATTATAAATTTTCATAAATGTTTTTTTGTTGTAGATACTAATTAGTTTAGAAGAAATTGCTCAAGTAGCATTAAAAGAAATTTTTCTTGCTATACAACAGCAATAAAAAGATGTTGAATCATCATGGAAAAAAGTATTTATAAAGTTATGCGACGTTTTGAAGGTCAAATACCAGACTTTTTTAAACATGATCATTGAATGCATTCCATTTGAACAGTATAAAACTTTATTCATTTATTATTCAAATGTATCGTTTTTCTTCTTCTTTTTTTTGTTTTGTTTTGGTTGCGCTAATTATTTTATCGGATCATGTTCTTGGATAAATGTTAAAAGATTTCATGACAACTAATTGTTTGTTAATGTATTTATCTTTTTAGCAAACTGCACGTGCTTGTTGATGATATTGAAATGTTTTCTAAAGTAATTTAGCAAGTAATGCCGCACATACATGAGTCATAGACAGTTATTTGATATTATGGAAAAGAATGAAGTTAGATAGAGGAAGTTTAACAACTATAAAACAAATCTTTGATGATTCTATTAAAGAAATATATCTGATGGGAAGAAAGTAGTTCTTAAACAATGAATAAAAATTGAAAAAGTTGAAATATATATATAGATTCATTTTAATATAATTCAAAATAATATTATTTACGATTTTAGAATTTTCAAATGTTAATCACTCGTTTAGTTTTCTAAACAATCAATATCAAAATAAAAAAATGTTTACAAATTTCATTATTTATTCATAATAAATCAAGTATTAAATAACACAGCAGAATATAAAACTCACTTTTATTTTATAATTAAACAGCTGAACAATATGAGTTATCAAAGCAGGAAGAAGCATGTTTGCTAGGTTTCATTAGATTTTTGCACCAATTCATTTATAAAAACTCTTCAGTCACCGTTTACTGCGTGCAAATTTTAAATATTATGATTTTGTTTTAGAAATGTCGTTTTTTTTAAAACAACAACTCTTGAGAACATTTTTGAAATAAATATTGAATCACTTATTATAGCTGGATTCTTTCTAATCATGACTTTAAAAATATGACATATTATGACTTTCCCATTTTTTAGACATCAATACTGTTGTATACACAACAAGTTTATTGTCATATAGATAAAGTGGAATGTACAAAGATTTTCTTAAAACAATCAAACGATACCTATGTATCATTATTTTCACTAATATTGCTATATTAGCAATCACGGTACCACTTCTTGTTTACTTTATAATTCATTCTAAAAATGATGAAGTTACACCAGTTACTATATCAAATACAACAACTACTGCTGAAAATCAATTAACAAATAGTTTTACTACAAAAACAAGTACAACAAGTAAGTATTAATAAATAAATTTGTAAAACTAGAGAATTAATTTTTTCAGATAAATACAAGTAAAACTATTTTAAAATATTATTTGTTAGGTACAGATTAGAACATTGCTGGAAGAATTAGTATTGTAGAAATTATTATAGAATTGATGAATATTACAATGAGTGAATTGCGTATGAAGAATAGTTCTCTTTATAGTTCAGAGTGCAAATTTTTCTTTTATGTCGTTGAACAACACCATAGTTTAGATTTCTTTCGAAGGATATCTCAATAATCCTCAGTTTTTTTACTATGATTAACATAATCATATTTACTTGCAGAAATATAAGCTCATAAATATATAAATTTTCTTTCCTATAGTATAAAATACGAAAATAATCAATTAAGATATTGTCGGAGATCAGCTTCCACCGTAACAATAAGTAAAGTATAATATTTCACAAGAAGTATCATAAGAGTATTTACTCAGATTATTCGGAAAGCAGCTCGTATCTAATCAGGTTAAATGATCGCAATATATAGTCAACGGTAGCCTCAATGAGAAAGTTAACAGCTTAGAAATATTACATATAGTAAAGTATCGTGAAGAGTTTCTCTTAGTTAAAGAATCTTCTAAATAAATTAAAAGTTTTAATCTTATTAATGAGTCTGTATGTAATAAGTCACTTTGTATAGTTTTCATCGAAATGACTACGACAATGCGAACTGAAGAGATGATAAGTAAAAGGAATTCTATACATGAACTGAAATAAATCTAAATTTGATTATCAATATATTAAAATTTTAGTTTATTACTACATATAATATGTAAGGCTATTTACAAAGTCTGGCACGCAAATTACAAATATTCTATCACCTATAAAAATTGCTAGCACAATGATGAGTAAGTCATTGAGAATGATTTTCATATGCAACTTGTGTAAATAGATTTAAAGAGAATTTATTAAGAATCGTTCAGTCATGAATTTTAATATAATTTGATGAGATGTTTATTTGTCATGTATACTAAATAAATATAAATTATCTAAAAAGAACATTATTGCAAGATATAAGATTTAACCTATGTTTCTTATCAGGAAGAAAAAGAAATGAATAAAATTATTTTATATTTACAGATAACAACATTCACACATCGACTTCTACCCAATTAGTCTTTTGGAATATAGATACACCACTTAACACTGGACGATCTAACTTTGGAAGCGTATTATTAGCAAATGGGCAAGTTCTTGTAGCTGGAGGTTTACTTAATTCCAATACAGATTATTCAGGGACTGAAGTTTATACATCAATCGGATGGCAAGTTGCAACTTCGATGACAGGACCACGTGATTTCCATACTGTTACTGCTTTTGCAAATAATACTAAAGTATTAGCCGCTGGTAGTGCAGGTATATCCGGTAAACAAACTGCCGAAGTATATAACATTGTAAACAATAGATGGGCATTAACATCAGTCAATATGTCAAGTTCTCGTTACTCACACACAGCTACACTACTTTCAAATGGACAAATACTCATTGCAGGTGGATCGAACGCTTCAGGTATAAGTATATCTGAAGCCGAGCTTTATATTCCATCATCAAACTCATTTATTAACACAACTAATATGAATATAGCAAGATGTTGTTTTACAAGTACACTTCTTAGTGATCGATCCACTGTACTTGTTACAGGAGGTATTAATGCTGCTAATTCTCTCATTACAACAGCAGAACTTTATATTAATGGCTCTTAGATTCCCTTATCCAGTAGTATGACTCAAGGTCGAGCTTATCATGCTGTTGTATTATTAAATGATGGAACTGTATTAATTGCAGGCGGAGGTAGCGGTACACCAAATGCATACTCAAGTGCTGAGATTTATAATGCAACAACACAAAACTTTATAGCTGTTGGATCAATGCAATATCGTCGAGGAGGATTAACACTTACACTTCTACCATCAGGTAAAGTATTAGCAATTGGTGGTGCTGATTGAACATCAGGTACATATCCACTCGTATGTGAATTATATGATCCTGTAACGAGAACTTGGTCAAATACACTGATGTTGAATTATGGAAGAAGTTTTCATCAAAGTGTTTTAACAAATACTTTTGTATTAACCATGGGTGGTACCAATGGAACCAATAATAGACTTACCAATTCTGAAAAATACAATTTATGAAACATTATAATCAATATTAACTCAGCTGTGATAACACTTCTTCTTTTTCAAATCCAAATAATATATCTCATAAACTTAATTATATTGAATAGATCAAAATCTGTATTTATTCTTCATATAAGTAATATAAATAATGATCTGATAGTTATGATTTATATGAAAATCTGTGAAGAACTGATTATCTGCAAGAATAATATAAAATGTTGTGTATATTAAATTGAATAAAACTCGAATGAGATACTGTTTCACTCTTTTATTCCATGAAGAAATTATACTAATTAAAATTTACATAACTGGAAGTAAACTGATGATAGTTAGCTGAAAGGTAGATTTTTTTGTATCAAACATGTTAGTTTTGTAGCTACGAACAGGAGAAGTTTATATTCATGTTCATCGAAGACTCGATATAAATAACATCATTAAAATATAATCTCATGCTACAATAGACTTATAAATTGCATTCTTACAAGACGAACATGATTATATGATATTCTATTAATATTAATAATTTTATAACTAGATATTGCGTTAGCTACTAATAATGTTATTAAATAATTTATTTATTTATTGAATAAATATCACAATTACAAAATGAAAAAGAATTACACAATAAATAAAAATATGATAGAATGTTCAATTACTCATCAAGAATATTATATAGTATCAGGTACGAACTTCAATCAGACGAAGATACTCAACGTAGTTTTATTGAAAGAAGATATCTACCAGTCGCTATGTATATTAATTCAAATCCATTTAGATGTGATGGTGCATGTTACAGTTATTCACTTCCATATGATTTCGAGTATTTTCATCTGAATAATTCATTTCAAGGTGGTACATTTCACAAAGTTCGACATTTAATAATGATCGAGAGAAGACCTTTTGAAGATAAATTATTTGAATATATTTCTCGAGATTTTCCTTTTCTTGAAATCTTACAAGTTAGTAATATTTGACCGCAAGAAAACTATCAATATCCATTCACATCAATTACGTTTCCATATTTGAAATATCATAATCTAGAATATTCATATTTGTGTTACACTGTACAATTTCTTTTAAAAACAAGTATGCACTTACCTCGTTCATTATATCTTTCTATCCCATACCAATCACTTGTATTTCTAACAAAGAATTTTACGACTGATCCATCATATTACAATTTTGACACTGTGAGAAGTCTTGATCTATGTGAATCATGTGTTCGTCCAAAAAACTTTCATCATTACTTTCCTTTGTTGTAAAATTATTTCAATAAATAAAAATGTGAAATATAAATTTTCGTTTACACTATATAACAACAAAAAA